TTTTTCTTCGTTTGGAGTGTTTGTTTAGCAAATATCTAACAACGAATATGTCTTGCTGTGCGGTTAATTGTAGTAACAGACCATCCAAGAAGTCGATTCTGCAGTTTTTTTGGTGAGTGATATAGTAGTGTTATATATTTATTGAATACTCATCGGCAGGTGTCTGTCTATTTTTGCAGGGCTAGCTTGTTTAACGTTAGCTCGTAAACCAGCCGACTAACTGTACAATTGGCCTCAGTGTAGCCCATTATTTACGGTCAATGGTTTAGCCGATCTCCCATTCATGCCAAAGATGCTAATGCTAACATATCTAGCCAGCACTATTTAATTGGGGAAAAAAGTAATTCCGAAGAGTTAGAAATTTTAGTTGTTAAGATGTTGAAAATAATGACTTTGTGTGATGTTAGAAGCTAAAGGTTCACCTCGGTGGTTAACCACAGACTTTAAATATGATTATCCGACGTTATGATGAATCCTATACTCAACATAAATGTCGAAATTTAAAAATAAACTTTGTATATTAATTCTGCGTTAGTACTTTCCAATAATAATTTAATATGTCATTGTTATTTTTGAGATAAAGTTTAACATTAACCAAGCGCAACTGAACCAACTAGGTAACATTGTTGACGTTCATGTCAACGGCCCACAAACTCAAAGTTATATTTTCTATCATGATTTTTCTAACATAAACATGCTGTTTACAACTCGACGGATAGAGATCTATAAGCTGTGCCAAGTGTGCCATTACGCACAGAGGTGGAGAGACTTGATACTTAGCGCACAGAGGTAGAGAGATATGAAACATAAACTTCAATCAATAATCAGTTCTAATGTTAATCCGTTTAGCACAGAATATTGGGATTTACGCCCATGTTGTCCAAACGGCTCCAACACGCAATAAGTGCGCTGGGGACCAGAGGCTCTGAATATTTTTTATGTATTCCATGACTTTTTTGTCTCCTCTTGCTGCGACTGAACAGCACTTTCGGTGCTCCTACAAATGTAGCATTCTCAATCGATATGGATGCTCTTACAAAGAATATAGCAGTAGTAATATATATATAAATAACATACAGAATGAAAATAAGATATACAGTAAAGCAATATGTACAATAAATAGTTTTAAAAACACAGCCATGTTGATGTATGTGAATAAGATAGACTGACATATGTGTCAACACATTTTGCCTGTAAATAGTTTTCCTCTAGGTGATTCAGATAGGCTGGACCAGTGGATGCTCAACCTGAGAAGACAGAACTGGACTCCCAACAAGGCCTTTCGTCTGTGCAGTGAACACTTTGAAAGCTGTCACATCAGCACTGATTCCAGGGTATTGAGATATTTTAAATATTATTATTAACAAAGAAACTTATTGATTTAAACTGATGAAGTACTATCCACAATAAACTGCTTAATTGCACAGTGTAAGTGCAACACAGATGAATACAGTAAATGAACACAAAATGGATTTAATGGATAACTGCTATTTTCTGTCTAAATTCTTTTTTCCCTTTTCTTTTTACATTTTAATAGGGGAGGAAATGCCTAAAGAACACCGCTGTGCCTACCATTTTCCACTTCCCAGAGGAAAAAGTGCCAGGAGGAAAATGCTTGGTGGTAAGTGCAAATGAGGTAAGTGACAATGGCATGGTTGTTTTGAGTAGTGGTGAGGAGGTTTCAGATGTAGGTGATGGTAGCAGTGCCGTAAATCTCATTGCTGATCACAGCAATTTCATGATGGAAGACACACCCCAACAAGCCTTTGTTGCTCAAGATGTCATTCATGATGACATTACACTGACAGCAAATGCAGGGGAAGATGTTGGTCTAGGTAGCAGCAATCAACCCATACATCAGAGTAAAAATTGGACAGCATTAGCTCACTGTTACATTAGGCCAAAACAGCTAAGTTTTGATCTAATGGCCATATCTCAGGGTGATCACTGTTACGGTGTTTCTCATTCTCCAAGAACACTGATGAGGAAGGCTTCTGCTACAGAGGTAAAGCTATGTGCAGCTCGAAAAAAATCTGAGGTTGAAAGTCCAGCACACAAGAAGATTGAAGGCAAAAGTTTCTTCAATGAAAGGTTTAGTCAAAGTGCTTCAGAAGAAAGTCTGAATTTCATCTGTGCATCTCTTCTTTCTGATCTCGAAGATGTTCCAAGAGAGATCTTTCAAAGACTAAAAAAGAAGTCTGTGTTTTCAGAGAATCTGAAACAATTCGCCACAACGCTGCACTTCTACGCTCCGAAAGCCTATGACTATGTCAGAGAGAAATTCTGGATTTACTGTTGCTTCTTTCACAGCTTTAAAAAGTCATGTTGCTGATCAGAAAGGATTAGGTAAGGACACAGTTTGCTCATTGATGATGGATGAAATGTACATTCATAAGCAGACTGAGTTTGGGGGGGACCAAATTCACGGCTATGTTGACATCGGAGCTTGTGATACTGAAAACGTAATTGCAACACAAGCATTGGTCCTCATGGTAGTTGCAGTTAATGGGTCTTGGAAGATTCCCATTGCTTACTTCCTCATCAACAGCATGACCGGACAAGAGAGAACAAACATTGTCAGAGAGAGCCTAGTTAGGCTTCATGAAATCGGTGTTAGGGTTGTCTCATTGATATGTGGTGGACCATCTCAAAACTTTGCAATGGTCAAAGAGCTTGGTGCCAAGTTGGACCTCAAGGACATGAAACCTGCCGTTTAGAAAGTGCACATGTTGTCACAAGTGAGCAAAAATCTTGAATGTACAGAGCTGGAATTAAAACAATAATTGAACTCAGAGCCTGCATGTACCTTAGTTCTTAGTTGGCCTTAGCTCTTAGTGAAAAGACTTTCTTTATTTTTTCTCAGAAAAACCCATCGATTACATAGATCATTATCAGTTGGAGTCTGCATGAACGGGGCCCAACTTTTCCACTAAAAATCTGCTGGGATGCTACTCCAAGACATAATGAAAATATAATTCTCAAAACGGTACATAGGGCCTTTAAAGAGAAACCTCACCTCACCACTACTTAAAGCCAATGTCAGATAAAAACTAAACACATGAATGACTGATCAATGTCTTTTAGAGTCTGCATGAACAGGGCCTAAGATGATGTTGATCTGTTAATCATTTTCAGTGTCAGATTCGTTGTAGTTATTATGCACATAAGTTATGGAATTGTTTGTCCAATTAAAAGTTTACTTAAAATTTAAAATGTCTACAAAAAAATACATATTATAGAATTGACCTGAAAACAAAGATGTTCAAATGTACCGTATGTTAATTTTTCTGATTTGTATTATAGAGTTCACCAACACATTTTTGGATCTCCAGGTTTGATAAAAATGTTATATGTAAATATTTAAGTTAAGTATTTTGAATTGATTGTTAATTTTGCTGTGGGTTTTTGGAAAATGTTATTGTTACATAGTTGTTATAAGGTAGATAAACATACTTCCTGATTTATTTTGTGGTTCATTTTGTCCCCATTGCTCACCCTCAGGTTCAGTAATTGTACATAACTTTTGCATTGTTGTTGTATTTTTGCTTTTCATTTTCACATGTCCTGTGCTGTATAGTGTCTTGTGCGTTTGTCCCGTGTTATATGTTCCTACTCTCGGCCTGCACCTTGTCGTGGTTAGTGGGCTTTCAACCAAGACAGGCCATACTGCATGTTTAAATCCAGAGTTTTAACCTCTCATTTTCTCTCTCATGTAGGATGTAGGACACCAGGGAGTTGTGTTTAAACAACCTCGCAGGTGTGACAAGCAAGGCATGGTTCAAAGGTTGAAAAACTATGATTTTAAAAATTATTATGTTTTTAATGTTAGCTTTGTTGTTGTGAATTCCATGTTATATATTTTGTTTTGCCAATTAGTCTAATAACTTAGGAATGTCCCAGAAGATATGAGTGGAGTTGTCATGATTCACATCATGGCAGCCCTCCCTTCCTAAGCCTAAAACTTAAAGCCACTGAGGGGCTACATAGACGGGCTAATCTAGCCTATTAATTGACACGCTTGCCGCTTCGCCTTGTCTCTCCCCTGTCTGTGTGAGGGTGGTGGGCGGGGTTCATGTTCCCAGGCGGTGCCAGGTGCAGCTCGTTGGTCATCAGGATCTCTACTACAAAGACTTCCCTCTGCTTCAGCTCGCCTCCAGATTGTTTCACCAGCTCGCGTGGTATCGTACTCTCTTGGCTTCTCTGTGATTACTAGTTCCTAGTAATAGATTACTAGCCTCCATACATGGGGCGTGCGCACTAACCACTGGTCCACCAGCGCCCCTGGACTTCTTTTTTCAGTTAAAGCGCTGCTTTCAGCGCCTTTTGAGCGCTTGTGCGCGAGTGTTCTGTAACCGTAACAACAAGATCTAGCCTACGGTGCCACCGTGCCGGAGCCGACCGGAACACAACGCATCAATTTAGCACAGAAAAGAACAAATGGGACGTCAGACACCAATACAACATTAAAACATCCAGTTTATTTTCAGAATAACACTCTCCGTTTTGACGGTTCAGAAAAACGATCATTTGTGTGTTTGTGTTTATAAGATTTGTATTGAGTTTAATACCACGTACATCGTATTATCTTGTCCCGTTTTGTCCTTTGTGTCACTATTTGTTTTGTTATTTCATGAATAAAAGGTAAAAAATGTTTTTTTTTAAATAAGAAACTGTGTAAAACAATGTGTATATAAATCTGCAAGACTACAAAGTGTCATTATATAATTTCATGAAAGGCGGCAAGTCAGATTGCCATTTGATTTAGCAAACCTACAAATGTTCTCGGAAAACATTAAGTGAGGGCGGGTTTTGTAGCTAATATGGATATTTCCGTTTCCTGGAACTTGATAGTTAAACCTCACCGCTAAGGGATTTCAAAGAAATATCCAATACACATAAATGATAGCAGCAGTTATGGATAACATTAAACTTAAACAACAAATTCCTAAGAACTTTTAGACATATTAATTAGAAAAAACATTATTGTTTTCCTTCATTATTCACTTATTAATAAAAAAAAGTGCCTGTAAGTAGGTCAGTTATTAAGTAAGCAAGTTATCAAGTTAGTAGGGGGTGTATCCTGGAGCATAAACACCACAATCTTGTTTACTTACAGCTTTACCTGTGTACAATAATGACGTCATTTTCCATTAACAGAAGTCAAAAGACATGGGAGCTTCTGAGGCCCAATCAACATCCCACATGAGAGGACGTCATAGGAAGGAGACACAAGGAAAGACTCCTCAAAGTGCTGCTCAATCACAGGTGATGTTTTGTAAAACCACATTTTACATTTGTAAAAAATGTTAAATCTTCTAAAATGATCATTATTGTACTGAAATTCTGACTGCACAATAAAGTTAGAATTTCACAAAACTAATACTTTCATTTAGAAAGAAAAATTTACATGGAAAAAACACATAATGACATTAGCACCAAAGTATTGAATAAAATAAAAGGAATACTTGGTAACAGACATGACAACCTCAGAAAGATAGATAACATACATTTTTTAATGAGTAGTATTTTAAAATCTTGTTCTGTCAAGTATTTTCTTACAAATATATATCCTCAAAATAATGTATTCTTCTGTTAAACCTCAGATAACTGCATTGTAGGGAAAACCAGAAACAGAAGTGGTGGTTTCAGTGGTCCCTTCTCAAGTGAAAGGAAACAACTTCGTAATCCACCAGTGAGCTGCTTACACTTGAACCTCACACCTGGCTCACAGGCGAGGTATGTATTCTTAAAAATACACCTGCATCATTTTAAAAAGCATATGAAAAATGGATGTAAAAATGTCATACACATGTGATACTGCTTTCATGTGACAATCCTGAAACGTGTAAATTAGGGTTTATAGTACAATACATACATTTTCATATTTTAAGCTTGAGGAAGCCAATCATGAAAACTTTCTGATGGTGGTGATGGCATCCACTCCCACTCCCTCATAATAATAAACATGGGAATTTAATGACTAACAATGATTAGCCCAAGTTCAGATTTTCTCACAATATGTCTTGACACAGTAATCCGTCATGTCATTGTGTAAATAATGTGCATTTTCTGATACACTGTCATTGTGTAAATAATGTGCATTTTCTGATACACTGTCTGTCTGCCTTTGATTGTTTTCCTCAGGTCATCCTCTGCCTCAAAGTGAATGCGTTACATTTGGGAAGTTCTATCTATATTATGAGTTACTTCATGACAGGTGTTGTCCTCTTTGGGGATAGAGTAAGACTCAGGAGGCATAGTTTGTCAAAGGTAACAGTTTTTATTTAATTTTTTACAGTAATGTCTGTGGTGAACAGTGTTTACCATTTTTTTAACAGCATTCATTTATATTATGATATCATTTGGTGAAGTTAATTTTTGATTATTTGCAGATCAACTTTGACAACTTCAAAGCAATAATAACGTTTGTGATGTTACGTTGTATGTTGTCTTGTCCCCCTCTGCTGGTTGTAATGTGTAACTGTTTGTATCCTGTCGGCTTTTGTTTTTCCCTAGGGTGTGTATGGTTGGGGTTGATTAAGGAAGGTGCAAATAAGAAGGCAGGAACTGCCCGGCTCTCATGTCTCTCTCTCCTTGGCTCCTGAGAGTCACGACAGAATGTCTATTCCCTATCAATGTTGCCTGAGTAACCTGGTAGAGTGTTTATCCCATTATCGTGGCTTTTGTTCATTGTGTTAAGGGATCCTGTGGCTTTGGTGGTAGAGGGTGAGTGCCCAGTCCGACGGCCCTGTGTGGGCTGGCTTGGGTGGCTGACCTTTCTTTTTGGTTTTGTTTTGTACCCCAGGTTTTCAGCTTGTAGTTTTGTTGTTTTGTTGTTTGATTGTAAAAAATAAACCTTTTCTTTAAAATGATTTAATTTCTGATTGATTTATGTTCGACTCCCGGTAAAAAACGAGTCATTAATTTAGGGGTCGTAACAGTGAACATTGGAAATGTACACTGGAAGTTTGTAGTTGGTAATTACAGCACTCATATTTATTTAAAGTTATATAGATTTTTTTGTTTTTCTTAATATATTGAATATTCTTTTGGAATAACACTGAATTTAATTCTTCTGATTTAAGTATATCAATGCAGAAACCAGCAAAGTGTACTTGGTAGATCCATCACAGGACTCTGCAGAGCAGGCTGACTCAGACCTGGCAGCAAAAAGATTCCGGTAATTATGCAATGTCAAGGCTGTAAGGGAAGAGTATTAAGAGGGAAGTTACATAGTTACATGTGAAGTGGAGATGAATATCAATTACTAACAAGTAGATGAATAGAGTTATGTGTTTATATGTGTACTACAGACCTTTTTTATATTGTGCACATATTTAAAGTGGACGTACGTATAGAAAACATATAATATATCATCCTCACACAGTGAGTTCTTTAAAATGAGGAGGACCTGCCACAACAAGAGCGACTGGGTGGATGTGAAATTCAGAGGAGGAGTTATGCAACAGCCAGTTCAGCAGGACGGAAACAGTTGTGGGGTTATAGTTATCATGGTACCCTTTGTTAATTACTTATTGAAATACGTGCTTTGAAAAAAATACATAGATGAATTCATATTTTTTCAGATTTGTGATTTGTGTGCATGAGTTATTTTCAGTCTGGAAATTACTTTTATCCAATTAAAAATAAAATAAACGTAAAACATTTATCCAATTGACTTTACCCATTTTCTGTTACTAGATGGCAAAGGCAGTCATGGAGGCATTTCCAGAACTCCCCAACAAAAGACATGGCACTTGAACACAGAGCCATGGCTGAAACAATGCTTGAAGCATCGGGTGTGTGACAGCTTCTCTTAATATTTTATTATGTTGTGATATTGCACTACTTGAGATTAAAAATGAAAATGTCTATATTAGTGTTTAACACAGAAAGCAACTGTGCCAAAACACCCACTCCAGGACCTTCCATCACAGACTGGGTAAGGCCATCTTATGTTTTATTTGTTGTTTTTTGATGGATACACATGTTTGTTTATGTAGTTTGTGACTTTCTATGTTTTTGCAGATTATCAACAACTATAACTGACAAATGGAAATATGACCAAAACAATAGACATGTACGATTTGTGTTGAAAGAATAGAACGTTTAAACCATAGATAAACTTTCTGTCGAAGTAAAATGCATTTTTTAATTTTCTTTTTTGTAAGTAAAGGTTAACCACTTGTACTTTTACAGATTCAGTGTGACAGCTGTTCAAGATGGTTCCACGCAGAGTGCCATCAGATGGACAGCGCAAAATTTCAAGACGTAAACACTGCGGAGTGGGATTGCAATTTGTGCAAAGAAAAGAATCCATACAGGAGAGACAATTAGCATAACCATTTAGCCACCAATAAATGGCCCATTTGTTCCCCATGGTGGCTGTTATATATATATATATATATATATATATATATGTTTTTTGCTTGGTTTTTGGTGTTTCTTTTGTGATGTGTCATTTATCAGGTTTTATTTTTATTATTTTGTATTCAAAATTTGAGCAGAATTTACCTTTATTTTTTCTCCAAAACTATACAGTAAAATCTGCTGAAAATTCTCAGGATGACAGCCAGGGACATGAGGAACAAGAATCCATTGAAAGATCTTTGTCACCTGTCATAGATTTTTCAAAATAAAATATTGCTTAAATGGTACCCTTAAATTCTTTCAAAGATATTTTCTGTCAATTTGTAAATCAAAACAACACTTGGCGTTCTGCATGTACATGTCTTGTAAAAAAGTTAGAATAGGTTGACTTTTTCAAATAGTTCTAAGATGATGATAATAACAAGACTGTCCAAGCTGTGTTGTTTGCTGCTCAAAATTTAATTCACTGTCAAACGACAGATTTTTTTCAGCAGCAACCCTGGTTAAAATAAAAGAACCAGCAGATGGCAGTATTTCCTTAGTCATGAGTCGTGGTCCTGTTAAAATGATCTCAGTATTCTTTGAATTTAATTGCAAAAAGTTACTTTACTTACTTCAGCTGTTAATCTCAGAAAAGCAGTTGTTCACAGAACTCAGGACACCTTGACAGAAAAGATATTTGGATGATTTTTTTGCCACACTATAGTTATTCAGTAAGTGGTGTTTTGATTTAAAGAATTGACAGAAAAGATTTTTGGAGTAATTTTAAGTAACACTCACAGTGAAAAACTGTTTTTCATCACAATTTGACTTCATGGGTGTTTTTACGTCAACATCGTGATGTAGAAATAAACTGAGCCATTTTACCTAAAATTCATAAACACGTAAAAGAAATGCATGAAATAAAAAAAACTTATTATCTTCCAATCAAAAATTGTGATGTACAAGATAAAATGTCCTTGTGACATAACTAATGTAGGTCAAACAACACACTCCTAAAGACTGCATCATAGGCGGTTCTAGACCACTTTTACTGAGGGGGCCAAACTGGGGCCAAAGACGATCGCTTTTAAAAAATATACATATAATGCCAATATACCTCACATTATTAAATACCACAACATAAAATACCATGATTTATATTTGTTTCAGTAACAGTAGTTCTTCTCTTTCTGTTTCTGTAGCATTGTTAAAGATCTCTGTGTCCAACTTATTGACCATATATGGTGTTATTCATGCCTTTGTTGGACACGCCCCTCCTCATCAGTGCTCATTGGTCTAATATACTACCAGCCCACCTTGGCAGATATACAGTATATCAGGATGCATATGATTGGTTATATTTATGTTTTTGTAATTTTTTAAAACTTTTGTACCTACTCTATTTAAATGTTGTTGCAGTGTGTTTCTTGATTGCCCTGATGAAGGCTACAAGCTGAAACGAGTCGTTCTAATAAGGTTAATGAAGATAAAGTTAATAAGGTTGATCTTCATGCTACAAATGTTGCTGGAGCTTTTTCACCTGTTCAAGCCTTGTTAGTTACTGAAGTTGTGCCAGAAACCCCTATCCTGCTTCTAGAGGGTCCACCGTTGTAAGCTCTTCTTCTCCTTGAGGAATGACAGTTGCTTCTGCTTTCTCTCTTTGTCATGCCCTCCTCTGAAGGCTTCATTTGGAAGGCATCAGGATCATTTGATGGCCCCTCCTGCCACGGTTCTCAGCTATCCTGCCCGTTGTATTGATTGCTGTTGGAACGACTTTTAACAGTATTTTTTCATTAAAACAACACTTTGAGTGAAAAAATGTAGTCAAAACAATCCCATGTCCCATTTCCCTATTGGGGTCTTTGTGACTCCTGGTTCCCCATCCTAGGCATCTAGGACTAACTAACTGACATTAGGGAAAGAACAAAGGTTGTATTTCTGATTTGTAGTTATGATCATCAATTTTTACAGGTAATTGTTCGGTACAATTAGGTACTATTGGTTACCTGTCAGAGTCCTTACTGTGTTCCTGTTGGTGTGGGTCCTGCTAGGCCCTATGCCTCATCAGAGGTCCTGCTAGAGGCCCTGCTAGAGGCCCTTCTAGAGGCCCTATGCCTCATCAGAGGTCCTGCCGGATCCTGTGTCCTCGTTAGAAGCCCTGCACACCTACACCTGCCTCTTTTTTCAGTCAGTCACTAAACTGAAACCTCCTGTCTACCCCAGAATTGATCTGCCTGTCTGGAGGCCGACCAATTCAATTTTTTCAATTCAATTTATTTTGTATAGCGTCAACTCATAACTCATGTTCTGGCAGGCCGTCAACCAACGATCTTGAGGAGCCTAAGAGAGCTCAAAAGCTCTCAGGAAAGTAGGTGGTTAGTGACTGAGATTTACAGATAGAAACATGCAGTAATATGATGTACTGTATATGCAGAGAGAGAGAGAGAGGAGCTCAAGGTGCCAGTTTCCCCGGTAGTCTAAGCCTATAGCAGCATAACTAAGAGCTGGTCTACACCAGCACTAACTATAAGATTTATCAAAAAGGAAAGTTTTAAGTCTATTCTTAAAAATACAGACTGTGTCTGCCTCCCGGACCCCGGCTGGAAGGCGGTTCCAGAGGAGAGGAGCCCGATAACTGAAGGCTTTACCCCCCATAGTACACTTGGAGACTGTAGGTACCACCAGCAGGCCTGCACTCCGGGACCGCAACGCTCTCGAGGGACAGTACGGCACTAGTAGCTCCTTCAGGTAGGATGGTGCCTGGCCATTTAGCTCTTTGTAGGTGAGAAGAAGGATCTTGAATTCTATTCTAGACTGTATAGGGAGCCAGTGCAGAGAAGCCAGGACAGGAGTGATGTGGTCCCATTTCCTGGTTCTGGTCAGTACACGAGCTGCAGTGTTCTGGACCAGTTGAAGAGTCTTTAGAGACTTGCCAGAGCACCCTGACAAAAGAGAGTTACAATAATCCAGTCTGGAGGTAACAAATGCATGAACTAGTTTTTCTGCATCATTTTGCGACAGGATATTCCTGATCTTGGATAAATTACGGAGGCGAAAATAGGCTGTTCTTGAAACTTGTCTGATGTGAGAGCTAAAAGACATATCTTGATCAAAAGGAACTCCTAGATTCCTAACAGTGGTGCTAGATGTCAGTCTGATGTCACTAAGGACAGTCAAATCACTAGAAAAAGTCTCTCTGAGGTTCTTAGGGCCTAGCACAATAACTTCAGTCTTGTCTGAGTTAAGTAGCAAAAGATTTCTGGTCATCCAGGTCCTAACGTCCTTAAGGCACGTTTCTAGCTGACATAACTGACTGGTGCCATCGGGCTTCATTGATACATAAAGCTGAGTATCATCTGCATAACAATGAAACTGTATGGAGTGTTTCCTCATAATATTTCCCAGAGGAAGCATATATAATGTAAAGAGAATTGGTCCAAGCACTGAACCTTGTCGGACTCTATGGCAAACTTTAGTGTGCATAGAGGACTCATTCTTAACATGTACAAACTGAGATCGGTCTGATAAGTAGGATTCAAACCAACTTAAAGCAGTCCCTGTAATTCCAAGCAAATGCTTCAGTCTGTACAACAGGATCCGATGGTCAATGGTGTCAAAAGCAGCACTAAGATCTAACAGACACCTGAACTTTGCTGCTCCCTGGGCTCTAGCCCTGATGCTGGACTTGAACTGGAAAAAGTAAGCTTTTGTGTTTTTGCCTTCTGGTCTTTTTGTCTGATACACTATTGTTGTGTAGTCTGCACTTGGATCCTCTTCTTTGTTTTTTGCTACCTGTGACAAGACCATGAGTCCTGTTATGGCTTTGGGGCCTATATGTGTGTGAAGGCTCACAATAACAGTGAAAAGTTGAATTTCCCTTGGGATTAATTAAGTAGGCCTATATTCAATTAAAAAAGGATCTGTCTGTCTTTGAAAACGCTTTTTGTCTTAGTCTGTACCAATAATTAAGGATCATGCACTAAAATTCAAAATTTTCAGGGAGAGAATACCTGAACTGTGAGAGAAGGCCTGATCAGAAGAGGTACAGTGCCCCAGTACAGTGTGGTACATTTGTTGTGGCTGACAGCTGATCTGCTAATAGGCTTAACTGTAGGTCCTAGGGTGCCTGGCTAAAGCAGTTGGTATGCTCTGCTATACTCTCTGCAGCTCTCTCTGAATTACTTTATAGCAGGTTTTAAACCAGTTCAATGGTCATTGGTCTAAGCAAATGCAGACTGTAGGTTTCAGGGTTCTGTTGAGAAAGTTGTTCCATCATTAACTCTTTGGGCAGCTCCTACTTAGTCCTTAGACCACATTTTTTCTGACCATTCTTTGCTCAGATTACTGTACTCCATCAATTTTCTATACCGTGTTTTCCCGTTCGGGGTCGCAGGGGGGCTGAAGCCTATCCCAGCTGCCATTGGGCGAGAGGCAGGGTTACACACTGGACTGTTCACCAGCCAATCACAGAGCAGACATAGAGAGACAGACAACCAATCACACACACATATTTCAATAGTCTCTAGCGTTCTGAAGTAATCTGTGTAAACCAAGTGTTTTATGATCCTTAGATCTGAAGCATCAGACAACCTGTTCAAATGTCAATCTACCATCAGTAGCTATTACACCTTTCTAAGTACAGCAGAGATGAACACGGTTTAAAAAACCAAATAGGTCTGATTAGTTATCTGTCCTCATGGGCACACACTGTACGGGGTTGGGGTTAAAAACGATTTGAATTGACATTGATGTAATGCACTTTAACTGAGGTTATTGAATGATTTTGTGGCTGAAGAAATGCATTAATGTGAACTATATTTGCTTTCTTTGTTCAGAAACGAGCAACTACTGTAGTCTTTAGTGTAGACATGGGTCTTTAGTGTCTAAACATTTACCATTCAACACTTTCTGCTTTTGTATATAGTATGTCTTTGTGAAGTTGGTCAGGCTTGTCTAAGTCAAACAGTAAGCTTGACAGCTGAATTTAAAGGTGCATGTGTGTTCAGAGAAAAGAGTTTACCTGCACCACTGCCAGAACACTAAAGTGAATAGTTTAACGCATTGATATTGAAACAGAAGTGTAATATCCGTCCTATACTGTTAACATGGGGATTTACTACAATCCTCTATTAAAATAAAGATAAAGCTAAAGATAAACTTTATTGATCCCCCGTGGGGGAAATTTGTGCATTACAGCAGCTCCAGAAAACAGGGGACGGGAATATACTTATAAAAAATAAAAATAGAAGTTAAGAAACAGATCAAACATATTTACATCATTTAAATAAAAAAATACAATAATGTAAATGTAAAATTACACAATACAATAGAATAATGTAAAAAATACAATAATGTAAATGTAAAATTACACAGTAACTTGTTATGAATGAATGCTGTTCTATTATTTCTGTAAGAACAGCTGCTTTCCAATACTGTATATGTGGTTTCTATGGTCTATGATGAAAAAGTCAACAGTAGCCTTATTAAATCGAATCTTTCCTAGATGAAGAGAAGAATCCCATAGGTCAGTCAACAGGGTCACCATGGTTACACAGATTTACATGGCTCCTTAAAGTTAGCTGCCACAAACAGAAAGACAATTATGAACCTTCAAATTTGAAGCGTAGTGCTATTGTTTGTAGGGCTGAACTTCCTCCTTCCTTGTGTGATAGATCAGTTGCACCTGCGGGGCAGGAGGGGGTTGGTGTGTGTTGGCAGACTGAACAGGAGAAAAGGGAGTGAGGGGCACAGAGAACAATGGTAAGGCCTTGTGACGAGACAGCCTGTCTGTAGGGCCGCAGACTGCACGGCCCCATAAGGAACCTCCAGCGCCACACAGGAAAGGGATTTCTCTGGAGCTGCTACACACACACACACACACACACACACACACACACACACACACACACACACACACACACACACACACACACACACACACACACACACACACACACACACACACACACACACACACACAATTAAACAGTACACTCTGATACAGAGAAATGAGAACAATAGAGGCCCCCATCCTGACCCAGCCCTGGACATGACTCTGCTGTAACTCCAGGGACCCATCTCACACAAACTCAAACTCAATGAACAGACTGTCAAGGAAACAGAGTAACAAAGGCAGAGGCCACTAAAGATCACAACATTTAGATGTCTGTCTAGACAAAAAGCACAACTGATGCAGTTAGTTTGTATTCATACAAGATAAGGACAGTTTCTATCATTAAGTGATCATTTAATCATCTGGGAAATGTAACATCACTGTCAGAAACCATTTTTTTTGTATTTCATTTATTTATTTAAAATAGGGGCAGTGCACATTAATGAACATAAACATGTAAATATACCAGATTATAGCCATAGGCTCATTTCCATCTGTAGTCCCTCGGCAGGTTGGGTAGACACAGTTACATAAAACCACAATGACAAGCAGAACCAATACAACAAGTAATGACAAAACAACAACATATACTGTTCATTACTAAACCAGTATATAGACTGGTTCAGAACGAACCAGTGTAAAGTGACTATCAGTGTTAAAAGTCCTTAAAGTGCTTCTAAGGGAGGTCAAGTGTCACAGTGCTGGAGTTTTGCACATCATTAACAGGTACTGTTGTTAATTGCACATTTGCCCTGGGGTCTATAACTTTAAAGTGCTGCTGTGATTGCACATGGCTCTATTGTACTCAGCTTGAATACACAGACATGTGAATACTATTGCACAGGGTAAGCATGTGTTTAGTGTTTATGTACGCAGTATTGGTAACAGTATTGGTACTGGGGTAAATTACATGTGTGTATGTAAAAGAGGATGGTTAGATATGGTCACACAACTGGTTTGTTCTGAGCCACAACTTCAGATGACCCTTAAAAGAGGCAAAGCTTGGACATTCCCTGACAGAGTGGTAGGCTGTTCCATAATGTGCTTCCTTTGAACGACAAAACCTCTCTCTCTCTCTCATGAATGCTGACTGATCATAAACCTGAGTACAGTACAGATCATTCTTAGCTCCTCATCATAGACCTTGGCTTGAACCGGTCTGCACTGGAATGAGTGTACTGCCACTCCCTGAGCTGATAATTCAAGCAGCTCTCCGTTCTCTTTCTTAACACATACTGCATTATGCAAGAAAAGATAAATATAAATAACCGTTCACTGAGCTGTGTTTTAATGACCTTTAAAATGCTCATTCAAATAATTATTTATTATTTTGATAGCTTCCAAGTAGACAAAGAGCCAGTAATCTACTGGCCTATAAAAACAAAACAACTTATGGTCAACTACAATCATGCATTCATGTTTTCTGCATGGATTGCTTTAAAGAAAAAGCTGCCTGTCGTATGCTACATGTGCAAAACATAAAAGGACACCTGAGAATAAAAGAAGCAAAATATCTGATTAAAACAAAGTTACATCATTTGTTTCAGTAAACAAATGTTTATATAAATATAATAGAATCCCAGGCAGCTGTTAGCTTAGCTTGGTGCAAAAATTGAGAAACACATTATGATTCAAAAGAAAAACCTCACATGGTTTATAAATTTTACTCTTTGTTAATTTAAGAATTCCATTATTGTAGCTTTTCCTTTGTCAGGCACAGTCAAGCCTTTGTTTTTCCCTCTGGATCAATAACATATCTATCTATCTATAACACAAAGTAAAAAGCTGTCTTTGTAGTTTGTACAGATGATTATCCCCCCCTGACTAATAGAGCTTCACACTGCACAGACAGGGAGTGCCTCGAGTCAGATGTCATCATGCACAACAACTCAGGAAACTGGTTTGAGCCGGCAGAGGGACTTCAACAGCAAGCAGATTAGCAGGCATACACTCGAGTGATCTGTGTGTGAAGCTAAGCCAACCGCTGATGAAACGCTGTAAAACATACCCCAGGGTTTGGACATGGCCTGTAAATGTAGTTTGAATAACAGAGGGGATATTTATTCTTTTGTAATAACATTAATAAAAAGCAGATTAATCAGTGGCTGAGAAACAGAGACACTGTTATCTTGAGAAAGAGATCATAACAGACTCCAGCACAAACAAGCTGAGAGGAGAAAGCATTTCACCCCCCACACCCCCCTCCCCACCCAAACTGGTTCATGCTGGTCTGATGCAGCATATACAGCCCTCTGAGGGGAGGTGAAGCTTAACCACATCCTCTCATGAGTCAATCTATTCCCTCAGAGCTCTTTGCATCAGAACCGACCATTTACACACAGACATGAAATAAAAGTGAACCTCATCATTGACTATGACTCGGTCCTCTTCACGGATTGTTGCATTGGATGTGATGTTTCCCATTTCTATGTTGATTTGGATTGTTTTAATCGAATGGGTTTCCCTATCTCCTCAGTCAGTGTGATGATATACATGAAGGCTGTCAGAATGCAAAAAAAGAAGAAAATTAATTCAACAATGGATCCAGATATTAATCAGAATATTCTGTAGTTTTTATAGCCCTAGTCCTTTAGGTCAAAGGGGTTTATGAACACATCATTACAGAACCAGAAAGAAGCCAAAGTCTGTAGAAATGAATCTGCCACTAGCGTATACAGAATGCACCACATATAATATTAGTGGGATGACAAATAAAAGGTATCAATGTCATAATAAGGAGAAACATTGTTAAACCATCGTATAGAAAAAATAATTTATTCAAATTGACAAACAAAGGAACACCTCTTGCAAATCATCGTTATAAAATTTTCACAACGATTTAGTGGCCACTAAAAGGAAGTTTTTAAATAAAACTGAGACAAGGCATGTGTGCAGGACAGGCATCCATGTAAAAAAAAACAAATCACCGGCATTAAGTCACATTTCGGAACTGCATGCGCCACGATCAATACAGTAGTAGCACCTATAAAAGGTTCACAGTCAGTCATGTCTCCACAGGAATGTGTCTTTATTCAAGGCTCAAGGAAGGCTGTTTGTGCCCGTTTTAGCTCCAGACCGGACTCTCCGCTCTCACCGGTCCGTGACGCGAGAGTCGCCGCATATCGCCATCCCCGCGGCCGGGTGCGCGTTCTCCTCCGCACCCGAAGCTTCCCTCCAGGCGACAGATGAACTGCACCTCTGCACTGTTTTCACCTTTGTGTCTCGGCAAACAAAGGCTGTGACATGTCAACGCATTTGAAGCAGGTGCCGCAGCATCCCCGCGATCTGGAGGAACTTGTCTTTTTTCCGCTGCTTCAGAGCCATCAGCGCGCGGGCCGTCTCCTCCGGGTCCTGCGTGTAAGAGAAGATGCTCCTCACTCTCTCCTCTGCCTTCATGTCGCCCGTTTTCTGGAACAGTCTCATCAGCGCGTCCTGGTTCACATTGTCGAAAATGTTGGCCACCGCCTTCTTGCGGTGCGCGGTGTCGAACTTGTTGCCGCGGACGAAGGGGCTGACGCGGCGACAGTCAGATGAAGAAAAGGTCGACATTTTATCTCTCTTCTGTGGAGGTTCAAAGCCCCAAAGAGCGGCCCTGCAACACGGATAGCTGAGATATCAAGTGGCCGCTGTTTCATTGGCGCGTCCCCGGATACTTTGAGCCAGACGCACGAGCTCGCTCATGCAGAGTATTTATAGTCAAAGTGGGAGGTTTGCTAAACCTGGACGCACTTTCAGCGTCATGCTTAAGCCCCGCCTCTTACGTATGAGAGTCTAGTGCAGCAGCTCTCCAACGAATGAATACTTCAAACACGGATATTAAATTAATTCCAATATGAGTTATAAGACAGCTACAAGCTACTCCAATAACTGGAAAAAGACAACCTCATTCTTTCTTAAGGGTTATTATCGTGATTATGTGATTATAGTGGACTACCTTCTTCATGAAAAAAGAACTATGATCAACTGCACAATTATTTGTCAAACAATGCCTGAGCTGAGATTTCATTATAAGAAGGTATTACTCATTCCCTAAATTGTTATAGGTCAAAATGAATTTTGAAAATGATCGAAACTTGATCAAAAACCCCCAAAAACAAAATTCAATCATTTTCTTTAACAGTATACTTAACCTGACTATCTATATACTTGTAAAAAGGAGGCACAAAGCTCACTCTGGATGCTGCCTCTGTTATATGCATTTTGAATCTGCATACTGTGTATATATTTCTATGTTTTGTTTCCTTTTCACCACTAGGTGTTTGCAATAAAAGTATTTTTAAAGAAAACCCCCAAAACAAAACAAATGCACATTTAAGAGGAATAAGTGTTTATGCACAATATGAAATGTGAACATTTGTTTTGGTCCACTCAGTCTCATTTTTGCCTTTTAGCCTGTCATATGTCTTATTTATTGAGTAAATCTCAGCAGCAACACATGTCTTTCATATCAGCTCCTGGGTGGTTTCAGTTAGATGATTGTTGTTCTTGGTTATTATCCATGTGTTTATGACCAAACAGTTCTAGGTACCGCAGGAAGGTTACACAACAAAGTAGGTAGCCAGACAATTACTTTACAACCTGGGGGTTTGTGATAGAGATGAACTGTGTTTCTTAAGTTAGTGATCTGAAATTAAAGTCCTGTGAAGCAGAAATATGCAGAAGAGTCGAAGACACAAGTAATATAAGAGTTTGTTTCCTTTATTCTTTATCCAACTTCAGCACAGTGAATTCATTGTGTGGATGTCTTTCATTGTGGTTGTTTGATTTCAACAAGACAAGTAAAAACCCCAAAAACATGTTTCCTGTTACTTTACGCTTAAATGTAAAGGTTTATCATTAGTGTTAGAAGTATTTAATGTTTGTTGATGTATTACGAAAAATGACTTCATTTGCACATACTGATAAATCCATGTTTCAGAGTTTGAACTGGAAGTTCTCAGGTTGTGGAGCGTTTGTTGTCCTAAAATGATCACACTGTGTTTTAGAAAAGCTCGAAGGGCTTTCTCTCTGTTCTCTTGACCCAGAGAGCAGATACCAGTGCTTACCTAACCCACACATGAGGTAAGTAGAGACACTGTTATCAGAGGCGTCTTTACACTTCTTTTCAGACTTTGACCTTTGACTTCACAGTCATAGGATTCGACTTGATGCTTGACATACATGAGAAGAAAAAAGAGACTCCTGCTGTTGAATGGAGCAGGTGGTGCAGCTGCAGCTCAGTGTTCAGTTGTATCTCAGTCTGTAGGTTGGGGGTTTAGATCCCCAGCTAATGCAGTCACCTGTTGAGATGTTATAGTAGGACACTTTATGGGCACTGTGATAGACAGTCAGTGTGTGAGTGGGTGACATGTAGCCAATTGGAAAACCACTTTGAGCGGGTAGGAAAGCGCTGTCCAAGTCCACTTAGTTGATTTAAAAAGACCCATGTCTTTTTTTGAATGTAGTATGAATCCCGTCAGACTTTGCTAAAATCTGTTGATTGCAGCAATCACTTGGCATGTGTGGTTAACAAAAGGCTGGTTATTTAAGACGTGCAGGTAAGGAAGCACATTTGGGATCAGTGTTTGTTGTGTAGGGGAGGACATATAAAATAACAGGTCATATAAATACACTTCACTTGTGAAGTTCAACACTAAAACAAAGAGGACCCCCAGGTTTATTCATTGACACACGGTGGGATGGTCTCTGAGGGGAATCTCTGGTTTTACACTCTCTTATTGAGAGTAATGCTCGTCACACACAGGCTGAGATATATGCCTATGTTTAAGAAGTCATTTTCATAGTTTGGTTTGTAAAATGTAACCTCCAAGGTAATCCCCCCTTAAAATAACAGTTTAACTGAGGATCTCTTATTCTACATTTTTGACACAATGATGTCCAGATTAAAAAACAACAACAACTGTTTGACTCATTTGAAAATAAGAATCCAGATGTTAGCTCTTTGAGTTATTTGATCAGATTGCTGATGAGACAGAAAAGACAACATCACTCTACAAGCTCTTTGTGCAACACCAGATGACGGAGAGGTCGGCCTCAGACAGACAACCGCTCAAAAGCAAACAATGAAACCAGACAGAGAAAAGGGAAGTCTATCAGCTGGTCATTTTGGAATCATTGAGAAGTGCTTACTGTGGATGTGAAACTAAGAGCTCAGCTGAGCTTCAGACTGGTTCAAACTGGTCTGCTGGTTAGAGAGCTCATGCCATGGATGAGCAAACTCCTCGTTCTGGTCTTGTGAATTCATATCCAGGGCATTTAATAGAGATATATCTTAATAAATACCTTAACTAAACCTTTTGAACTCAAAATGAAGCACAGAACAACATTGAAGAGGGGAGATGTAGTCAGGTCAAGAGATAAAGAAGGAAATAAAGAAATTAGGTCAACATTTGCTCCATTTCTACAGGATAAGGGAGGAACAAAGCAAACAGCCAGAAGATCAAAAACATAGACACATGACACACCTTATAACTTATCATTTAGTATTTGCCGACTTGTACATAGCTCTGTATATATTTATTTCTCTTTTACTGCACATAGTTCTGTTTACATCTGTTAGTCTGATCACTGTCAACTTATATCTACTCTTTTTATATTTTAAGTTAAGTTTAAGCTTTAAGTTGTATTTAAATTGACACTTTATATTTTAGGTTTAAAATATTTTGTCTACCTGCACTGTTGTTAATTTACTGCTCTGTGTGCCTTTGAATTGACCCCTGGGGACAAATAAAGTTTTTTGAATTGAATGTATAATTTATAGCAGAAAACAAAACAAAAAGGTTTGCAGAGACAGTCATAAATATTTACATTTATATTAAGCTCTATATGTATAATCAACTTATTAGTATTTCGTTTGTGTTAGCTTTAAACACTTCATTGTTTTCACCTACAATAAATACTACTTGCCAAATTTATGAAATATACAACTACATTGAGTTATAGCTTGCCATTTCTAATTAACTGATCAAATATGATGAATAAAAAAAAAAAAGGTCTAACTTAGGTAAATAGTTGATAGTGGTTTTTGTGGTTGCTTGCTTTTCCTGGTCAGGTTGGAGTTGTGCAAAGCTATATTATATCTCACTCATATCAGTGATATCAAACATCAGGTAGAACAACTCAACTATCTGAGGACAATTTGGTGAATCATAGCTTTAACACTAAGTCAATCAGCTGCTTAGTATAAATATGTGATATATGTCCAATATTAATATTAAGGACCTCTCAGGGAACTCTCTGGGCTCTGTAGTTTTTCACTCTGAACGAGTGATTCTGTCGAAAACTAGTTCAATCTTTAGTTGTTGATTTTTTTTTCAAACTTTGTGAAAGAAAACATCGAAATGGAGAGTTTTTACTTTTAAATAGAGTACTGAATTATTTTTGGTTTTGCAATCTGCTCTTAAGAAAAGTATCTTGTTCTGTTCGACCACTTCCCTCCAGTATTTGAAGTAAATATCCTGTAATGTGGAGCAATAATGTGTTACATCACAGCAGAGGTGGGGAACTTGGCCTGATAGGAAAGAGGAAAATCTTTACTAGAACAAACTGTAATGTCACATCTGGATCCATCTGCCCCGTAATGTGCATTATTCTATGTAGTTACTGTATATCTGTGCATTCTGCCTTTTTCACAGAGACACAACCCAGTTAGCAACACCTTTAGCATGCAGGAAAGCTGCTGGCCATCAGAGATGACATGAACAAAGAAAATCTAACTTCTTATACTTCTTTTGAGGAGAGGAAATAAGCATTATTAAGTGGAGGCATGTTGTGACTTATTTCAATAAAAGAACACATTTTCAGATTGGTTGAAGAAATGGATAAAGAGTGTCCTAATGAAAGCTGTCAGCTGCTCTCATGTGGGTGACTTGATGATGTGTGAGTGTCCTCTGTTGGCAGCTCAGGTCACATACAGCTGGGTTGTTTGGAACAGAAGAGACTGCCCCCTGGTGTTGATGTTGTGGAGTGCAAACCAGTGATAAAGACAAGATAGAACTTAAGACATGATAGTCAATGTGTGTAGGTGGTAAATTGATACTGACTGTCGATCTGAACTAAAGAGGAATTAGATTGGATCATGAAGAAGCAGCGTTTTCTTCTAAAATGAGATGCTACTTGTTGGTGAAATCCTCTCAAAGTAAATCCTCTGAGAGTCTACATCAACATTTCTTCTGGTTAATGTGTGTTAAAATTGTGTTTGGTAATGAAGTGTCTGATGTAACCAGGACAGAGATAATATAAGTTTACAACGGGCGTCTGGAGATAGTATCTGAAGGAGATTTAGGAGTCCCCTTAGGTGGAATGTTTAAATTGAGGTGTTGTATAGGAGTATTGCCATATATGGTTGTGTAACTTGATGTTTTTATGACGAAAAGCAGATGTTTAGATGCATATAAGCAATTGTCTCTGTGTGTTCGACAGAGATCATTATTGGCTTCTTGATCCTCCTGGTCAGACGTGACCAGTGACTCTGTTTCTTGCTTAAATAAAATTATACTCTTTGAAAGCAAGTCAGTGTCAACGGCGAATTTCTTCATCATCAAACATATCGACAACAAGGAAATCCACATCAATTTTGGCGTCACGGAACAGGATCAGTTGGGGCCTTCTGCAGGGGACCACAGCTTGTTTATTATTTCCATCACTTCGTAAGTGTTTCTTTCTTTTTTCTGCACATA